TATCAGCGATACCGCAGCTGATGATGAAACTGGACAATACAGAATGGTAAGAATCACATAATCTCTTAAAAGGCGGTGGTCGTCGAGCCACTTCCTGTTCAGTATGGGACTTGAATTTCAAGAGTGCCAGTATGAGTAATACAGTTCTTCCTGCAAGGATTCTTATATGATATTATTAATGATTCCTAACAAAGTGGATTAGGAAATACCTGAAGAATTGTGCAATATAGCTAACAGTTTTATTAAGTTCAAACAACAAATTTATGTTTTTGATGATTAGACAGCACCCGTTTTATTGACATTTTAACATCACATTCAATTGCGCCCTCTATGGTAGAAATCATTGAACATTTGTCAAAAGTATTACAGTTTACCATTCTCATTTTTGACTCCCGTGTGCGAAGCACAAAAGGGAGTCTTTGCAGTTACCCTGTCTGTATGTCTGTATGTATGTATGTATGTATGTATGTATGTATGTATGTCACTTTTTTTGTTCCACAGTTATCTCAAGAACCACTAATCAAATTTTTGTGAAACTTGGTACATAGATGCTCTGGGATAATGCGCAGAGTTGATTAGGTTTTGGTAAAAATCTATGAATATTAATTAACTAATTTGCATGATAATTAGCTGATTTTTAGCTCTTCCAAGACTGTTCCACTGATATCTGAAGAACCACTCATTGGATTTTGATGAAACTTGGCACATGGATGCTCTGAACTAGTGCGCAGATTTGATTAGTTTTGGGTAAAAATCTATGAATATTAATTATCTAATTTGAATGATAATTAACTGATTTCAAGCTGTTCCATGACTGTTCCACTGATATTTGAAGAACCACTCATTGGATTTCAATGAAACTTGGCACATGGATGCTCTGAACTAATGCGCAGATTTGATTAGTTTTGGGTAAAAATATGTTAATATTATTAATTACCTAATTTACATAATGATTAATCAATTTTCGGCTTTTCCACTGATATCTCAAGTACTAATCATAACATTTCAATAAAACTTGGTACATAGATGTCATATGACACTGCACAGACCTGGTAGTGTTTAGGGTAATATCAGTACATATTAATTACCTAATTTGCATAATTAATTAATTTTCAGCTTTTGATATTTCGAGTAGTAATGATCACATTTCAATGAAACTTGGTACATAGTTACTTGAGGACTGTGCAGAGACCTAATTAGTTTTGGGGTA